AAAGCCCTCCCCAGCAAAACAAGCCTCCCTTTTTCTGCCTGTTTTTTCTGACCCTGGAGGCCTGGAAAAGGGGGATCCTGGCCACCTCAGGTTGGTCCCTGCCAGAGACAAGGGTGATGGCAGCCACACGACTGCCCCACCTCATCCAGGCCCACACTGCTCTGCCAAGCTACCGGCGCACATGTCCAGTCTCCCTTCCCATGCCTCAGTGGTGGCCAAAGGTTGGGAATGTCTCCCCACCTCTAGCAGCAGCTCTTGCATTCCTGCTGCCATGATGCTTCCTTTGGCTTCCAAAGGACACTTCCCTCAGTTTTCCCAATTGCCCTCTGCTCTGCTCTGCTCTGCTCTGCTCTGCTCTGCTCTGCTCTGGGTGATAAGGCACTGTCACTGCCCTCTGGCACAGGGACATGCTACCAGGCAGGGTTTTGCTGAGTTGGACATACTTGGTCCATTGTGTCTTTCCAGGCTCTGTGAGCTTTGCTCCATTGCCTTACCATGGGGAAGCGCCCAATGGCACCAGAACCATTAGTTCTGGCTACACCAAAGCCTGTTTTCAGTGCCAAGCCTGGGCAGGGAGGCATTGCCTGCCAGGAAAGCTCAGCCTACACTTCCAAATGCCCAATCGTGAAATGTATGTCTGTCTGTACATCTTTCCAACACATAACCCCAGAAGATTCATTGAAGACAGCAAGGATGACTAAAAGTGTGAAATGGCTTTTCTATGAAGGAAAATCAAATAGACAAAAATCCTTCAGGCTGGGAAAGAGCTGGAGGGGGGTAAGGCAGAGGTCTGCAAAATCCTGCACTGGGAGGTGGCTGGGGAGGTCCTGTGTCCCAGCTCTTCCCCTGTGTCCCACAAGCCAGCATGGAATTAAATTAACTGGCAGACACTGAAACATGAAGAAAGATGATTTTTTTTCATAGAGTGCATTATCAAACTGTGGATTACAGAGCACAGTGGCATGCAGGACATGAACTCACACCGATTAGATAAGGGCCAGCAAACACAAGGATGTGACTGCTGCCAGGGGAATCCCAGAGATGTGGACAGACATAATCAGAAAAGTTATACCAGGGAAGCATAAATCTCCTACTGTCAGAAGGAAATTCTTGAGGGATTTAGAGGGATCCAGTACAACCATTTTCCTATTTTGTTAGTGTTTTTCTGTGTGCAGTTAAGCAAATACATCCACCTACTTTACATGTGTGTTTATTACTTGCATGTTTGCTCCTTGACTTCGCTGCCCTTTCCCACAGAGCTCTCCCTTCTGAGCAGGGGCTCAGATCCACATCTGCCACAGGAGATCCAGCAGCGCCTCCTGGGAGACACTGGGATCTGCCTTTTTCCCACTGCTGGGAAGCACTTCCCTCTCCCTCAGCTGCTGTGTGGCAAAACACATCCCCAGAGCATTAGTGTAATGGACTGTGCCGACCAGAAGGTGTGTATCTCATTGCTGTGTGTGCACAGCTCAGAGTACAGCTTTCCCTCTGACTCACAAGCCCAGCCTGATTGCAGCTCCGGAGATAAGTTGTTTAACAAGCCCCATCAGCAGGCAGATGCTGTGTGGAGAGAATCGCAGAATTTTAAGGATTCTTCCTGCTGTCTCACATGCAAGACCTGATTTTTGAAGCAACTGGGAGGTATGGAATGGTCCTGGGCAATTTAATCCCTAATATAACCCACCATTTTTTCAGTGATGTACAATTCTTAGCTATGGGACTGTTTCTCTTTGGTTTTCTGCCTGTTTTCTAGACTTATAACATTCCCCCTGATGCCGTGTGTGGGTGTCCCAACAGAGATCCATGCGTTACTCCAAGGTGTCAAGTTTTCCCGAGGCTGAACTCATCACAGGCACTGCTCTGGTTTCAGTTTGTGTCCAATTCCAGCTTGCCATCTTTTTTCAGGTCTGACATGCCAGCGTTCAACTTGTCTCCAAACACAGAGTAGAATAGACTAGACTAGAATAGGATAGGATAGAATTTGGGTAATTTGGAGATTTTTGGGTATTTGGGTCTGGGTCTTTCAAGGACTTCCTTCAAGTCTCCAGGGCACGGCCACACTGCAGCTCTCCCTCTCTCTGGAAGAGCTGTACAGCTCCCAGGTTTGTTGCCCAAGTCAACCTCTGAGAGCTAGGTCACAGCCCAAGGGGCTCACAAAGGAATTGCATTTGGGTGCCAACCACCTGGAATGGGGGTCCTGCTGGAGCTGCCTGGAACATGGGAGCACCCCCAGAAATGGCAACTCATGCTGAGGTGGATAACAAGGTCTCAGCCACCCTTTTCTCCTCTGAAAGAAGCAGCCTTCTAATGAGCTGGAATCGCATCCTTGTTCTGTGGGACAGCACCACTCACTTTAATTTAATGAATCCAACTCCTTGTGTTCATTCAGCTACAAGATCCCAAGCAAAGGGATTTGATCCTGGGGTCTTTACCCATGGATGTCAGCAGTCCCTGCGGACTACCTTGTATTTCATCTGCTAGAGGAGACTGTGACACTCCTAACTCCACTGTTAGACTACATATAAATGCCAGTGCTAAAACAGCACAAGTGAGGAAGCCAGGGTAAGCTGCACTCCACTTTTCCAAGACAAAAGAGAACCAGAGAAACCTCTATCATCAGTAACAAGCATCAATGCAAAGTCATCAGAACAATGCCACACACATAACTAAGCAGAGCTGGAAACTTCTCAGTTGTGTGATCAGTTACTCCCAGTAGTAGAAACCTGATTTAGGATATTGTAATGCAAAGCAACAGATGTTGAGGAAGTGGTAAGACACACTTGTGTGTGAGGAGTTCGTGAAATACCTGGAAAAAAAAGACAGACCAAGGAGAGGATTTCTGCATTGACAGTGTGAGCCAGGCAGCCCAGCCCAGGACTTTTGGCAGCCCACAGCCTGTGGATGAGACTCTCTGCCTGAGCTGCTCTGCCATCAAAACATAAGCTGCTGGGACGATCCAAGTGTTGTAGCCTCACCATCACTGACCTAAGATGGGCTTCAGGAAAACTGAGTCTTTTTGGGAAAACTACCTGTGAGCAGATTTAAGTGCTGAAAAAAACAGGCACAAGTGAGGTCTCTCACCCAAGTGTGTGCATAGCTCCTCTCTCTTTTCACTGACCACTGCCTCCACCAACTGACATTCTCATTCCTCCTGTGCCCTATGGGGCTAAGGTGGGACACATACACGTGTGTGTTGATCCTATCACCAATCCCTGACTGCACTCCTAGGATCAGCCTGCTCCTGCAGTGGGGCAGTGCTCTGCCTTGAGCTGGGCTCTCCTCACTCCCAAGTGAAAGGGATGTTTTCCCCCTGGGGTTTCTGCTCCTGGCAATGCCCTTGTAAGCACAGCTGCAGGGATATGAACTCCAGCCAGGGTTGCTTCTGTGCTTGCAGAGCCTTTTTCATAGTCACTGTTATGATTAACTTCTGATCCCAAGGAGACGTGGGGCAATCTTCTCCCCATTTGGCTGATCTCTTTGAAAGCGCTTTTAAGGAAATTTCCCTATCCAACCATCCAGGAGCCACTCTGGCAGTCACACTTGTACCACCTGAGCTAGGACCAAAACCCCTTCACAGCTGCACACCCCACGCTCATACAGTCAGATCAGGTTTCCTTACTGGCTCAACACCAGGTTTCCCACAGCACAGTCTCAGATCTCCAGATCCTTTAAATACTTTAATCTTGGTGCAATAAATGAATAACAAAATAACAGCTTAGGCTGGATACCTCTGAGGAGGGACCGCGAACTAAGGAAATCCTGGGCTTTTATGCCTTTAAATTCTAAGTGCTCAAAAGTGTTGGGTCCTTGGCTCCTGCCGTGTCTCTGTATTGAGTCACCTGGCTGGGCCATAGGTCCCTGTGACCTTTGTTATGCAAAGGGTCAGCAGTTCACAGCACCCTGCCTGGGACTCCGACTACCCAGAGCTCAACCTGCAGCTCAACCTCCACACCGAGCTACCTGCACTGAAGTATTCCTCAACAGCAACAGCTCTTTTGGAAGTCATGGCTCTCTCCAATGCCAGCCCTGGCTTGTTTGTCCTCCCTGCTCATTTCCTGGAACTCTCTCATGCTGTACCCTGGCCACCTGAGAGGACAAACAGGGATAAGTGTAGTAGAGAAACTGGGCATCAGTGCAGGGCTCAGTGGCACAGAGATGTACAGTAGGGGACAGGATCTGTTTTTACGTTTCACAGTGTTTCTCACATATGGATCACAGATATTTAAAGTTGTTTTTCCTTCTCACAGTTATGTCTTGTGCTGCTGCTCCCAGAGATCAGACACTTCTCACTGGTCTTTTGGCAGGTCCTGCTCCGGGGGGCCGTGTTCCCAGGCATTGCACTTGGCCTGGAAGTGGAGTGTGCATGAACCCACCTTCCTGTCAGCTCTGCAGCCCTGGGTACTCCTAGCAAACCCTTGCCAGTGGGGGGGGGCAGCCTGCTTGCACGGACAGTAGAGAAACGGACGTGCTTCAGTTCATGTTAAACAACCTGAAGGCAAAATCCTCCCTGTGTGTCTCTTGTGGCACATCTGGACTGATCATCGTCAGTCTCTGTCCTGGGCACCCCCTCCTCCAGGCACGTCCCCAAGTCTGCACCCCAACATCCCACAGCCCCATCCCACAGAGACCTCACATAGCTGTGGGCACCCTGGTTCTTATCAGAGGGGAGGGGCTGGAACCAGTCCCCCAGGACACATTCACACCAGACATAGACATACAGCACAGCTTCCCTTGAGCATTGGCAGGGACAGCTGGGGGTACTCCAGCAGGAGTGATTTGTGTGTGTGTGTGTGTGTGTGCGCGCGCACCTGTGTGCCTCCCTTTTTGTCTCTCTGTGTCTGCCTGACTCTGTCTCTCCACCTACCCATTTCCGACTGCTTCCTTCTGTGTTTCTGCCTCCCCTTGCCAGTGCATCTGTGTGTGCATCTGTCTGTGTCTCTGAATGGCTGCTTGTCCCCTTGTCTGGCTTTGAGCATGTGGATGTGTGGGTCTTACTGTGAATGTGTCTGACCCTTTTCGTGTGCCTGTGCATCTTTGTCTGTGTGCGTGTGACCTCGTCCATCTGCCCGTGTATATTTATGTGCTCTTTCAGAGTCCATGTGTCCGTCCATTCCCTCTACACGTCCGTTCATCCATCCATCCATCCATCCCGCCCCGTGCCCCGCCCGCCGCCACGGCTCTTCAGCACCGCGGTGCACGGACAGCTCCCGCCGCCTCCCGCCTTGGCGGCACCGCGCATCCGCGCACCCCACCGCACGGCACCGCACCGCACCGCACAGCACCGCGTCGCGCATCTCTCCGCCGGAGCGCTCCGCCCCGCACCCCCTCCGCACCTCGCCGCGCCCCGCCCCGCCGTACATAAGCGCCGGCGGCGCCACCGGTCCCGCTCCGCCGCCATGAGCTACAGCGCGGAGCCGGCGGCTCTGGCCGCCTCCTACCGCCACCTCTTCGCGGAGGCCCCGCGGCGCCCCGAGGTGCCGCCTGCCCGGCGGGCGCGCCCGGGCGCGGAGCCGGCGGCGGTGCGGGAGCGCGGCGCGGAGCCGCGACGGCCGCGGGGCAGCGAGAAGGAGCAGCTGCAGGGCCTCAACGAGCGCTTCGCCGGCTACATCGAGAGGGTGCGGGCGCTGGAGGAGCGGAACCGGGCGCTGGCGGCGGAGCTGGCGGAGCTGCGGCAGCGCTCGGACGAGCCGCGCCGGCTGGGGCAGCTGCTGGGCGGGGAGTTGCGCGCCCTGCGCGCCCGGCTGGAGGAGGCGCACGGGGAGCGGGCGCAGGCGATGCTGGAGCGGGCGCGCCTGGCCGAGGAGACGCAGCGGCTGCGGGCGCGCTGCGAGGAGGAGGCGCGGAGCCGCGCCGAGGCGGAGCGGGCGCTGCGCTCCCGGCAGCAGGCGGCCGAGGCGGCCTCCCGCGCCCGCATCGACCTGGAGCGGCGGGCCGCGGCGCTGCGGGAGGAGCTGGCGGAGCTGCGCAGCGCCCACGCCGAGCAGCTCGCCGAGCTGGGCGCCGCTCTCCCGGCCCCGGCCCCCGCTCCGGCCCCGCGTCCCGACCTGGCCGCGGCGCTGCGGGAGCTGCGCGCACAGTACGAGGCGCTGGCGGCCCGCAACCTGCAGGCTGCCGAGGACTGGTACCGCGCCCGCTGCGCCCGCCTGCACGAGCGGGCGGCCCGCAGCCAGGAGGCCGTGCAAGCCAGCCGCAGGGAGGCCGGTGAGTGCCGCCGCCAGCTCCAGGCGCGCCTGGTGGAGATGGAGAGCCTGCGCGGCGCCCACCAGTCCCTGGAGAGGCAGCTGCAGGAGCTGGAGGAGCGGCACAACGCCGAGGCCGCCGGTCTGCAGGTGAGCCGGGCGGCACCGGGAACCGTCGCTGTCCTCTTCCCTGACTTCGGGCAGCGCCGGGCACTGTGCGGTACCGAGCATCCTCCTCCCTGCAATCCGCGCCAGTCGGCACTTCCATCCCAGCAGCCGCCCCCCCGTAATGTGCAGCACCGGGCATCTTCATCCCACGCAATCCCCCGGAGCTGTGCCGTTACCGGCACCTCCGACCCCGCATTCCCCTTTCCCTGGTGCTGTGCGGTGCTGAGAATCTCCGCTGCCTACGAAATCCTGCAGCGCAGTTCCATCCCCTGCAGCAGCCCCTTCCGCCGCTCTGTGCAGTGCTGGACACCTCGGCCCAATGCGGTGCCCCCCCGTCCCGCTTTGCCCAGCAGCCCCACAATCCCGATCTGTGCTGCCCTACCCGCAACACCAGAGCACGGTGCGGCACCCGCCCGGGCAGGGGCAGTGCCCCCACAGCGCTGCCCAGTGCCAGGCACCCCTGCAGCCTTCCTACTACCCAGCACAGTGCCTCTCTGCCCTGCACACAGGTCCTGCCCTGCCAGGGCATTGCCTGTTGCCTTCACCCTTTATCCATAGGCATAAACAGAGAGGGCAGGTTTCTGGGAAAGAGGACAGGACACACCCTTCCTGCAGGGGACATCCCTGCACATGGCAATGCTGTTTGGGGCATCACTCCATCCCTACCCTTAGTGATGTTCCTGTCCCTTAAGGATCAGGTCCAAAATTGCCCACACATTTCCCATCGTTGTGGGTAATTCCTCAAAGCCATCTGCTCAGGCTTGGCCCCTTGCCCTGTGGCCTGGCTCTTGGCACCTGCACTGCAGAAATTGGAGCTTTACAAAGACTAAGTCTGAATTTGCAGACAGATCCCAGCACCTCTTATGTTTGTGGCAAGACTCATGTGGGACACTGAGTGCTCCGTATCTCTTATTCCATTACCGCAGTATTACCGCATTTTCTTAGTACAGGGAAATGTTAATGATTTATAATAAAATAAATCTTGACATTGTTCTATTACACGGCTATTAAATGATCTGTGGTTTCTAAATCAAACCATTTCCTTCTAAATACTGAAGGAGCTGCCTTAAATCATACCTAGAGGATGTTGTTTCACACCCAAGTAATGCCTTGTCATTTCTAAGGCCAAATTTTACCAGGCACTCTAGAATTCATGGCTTTGCTCCAAGCTGCTTGCAATCTTCCTGAACAGTTGATGCAGTCTTCAACAAGTATTGTGGAAATAGGCAATATACAATATTCTCTATAGTGGGTGAGAAAATTACACAGAGTAATCTTCTTAAATAATCTTGATGCCATGTGAAAGAGGGATTCCGGGAGCAACCTATCAATTGGAGAAAAAAAAATAATGCACCTGGATTAAACAGTACCATAATTGAAATTGCTTAATGACAGCACAGCAGTGTTTTCCCATATGACCCTCAGGATCTGCTTTATGTGTAGCATTACTTAGGAGTCTTTTGAGCAATGTGCATGTGTAGTAGCTAAGTAATTTCCTTAGCTGCAACCAGTGGAAAAGGATGGAAGTGTGTATTAAAAGATAATATTCCTATTGCCTGAGCTTTTAAAATGTTCCCATTGACTTCTAAAGGCTGCCCAGTCAAATCTGAACCAACATGAGAGCTTTGGTTTGCAATAGTGTGGAAATGGGTTTTTATTCAACCAGCTGGTAGGGGTGGGATGTGGAAGAGAGGTGCAGAGAGGGTAACAACCCATTTCAAATGAGCTTTTTGTTCATGTGGACTGCAGGCAGAGGGAAGAGGGCTGAAGGCACAGAGTGTCACAGCAGCAAGAGTGGAGCTGTCCCATGGTGGGGTCACCCCAAGTTCTTCCCTCCTGTCACGGCTTGGTGCAGCAGTAGTCTGTCTGCTTTGGGAGAAGAGGTTTTAATTGGTACAGCAGTGACATCCATGCATGTCCTGAGGCTTTTCAGTTGATGGCCCAATGATCTTCTCTGAGGCACAGCTTCACACAGCTCTCTTGCTGTGGAAAATGGTCAGAGCAGCACAGGTCAAGGCAGAGACCCCAAGGATGGCCCCTAAATGTCCCCCAAGGCTGGATGTGCCCAGCTAATTTGACTGTGAGATGCCCTGTGCTGCATTCAGGACAAGCTGTCACTGCTTCCCTGAGGGGCACTGCTCATACTGGGCTCGCTGCACCAAGGTCAGCACAGCTCCCTTCTCTTTGGGCAGCTCCACATCTTGTGGCTGTCTATGCACTATGCACACGGAAGGATATGCTGGAGAGGAAAGAGGGGACAGGATGGGAATGAGGATGGGGACAAGATGGGGATGACATGGCAGGACAAAGATTGTTTGCTGGAACAGAGTATCTGGAAACAATCACAGAGGCCCAACTGTTCGAGTGGGTGCAGGAGAGCAGAGGCTGGCAGTGGCCATTGCAGGGACTTGCAGGCAGGGCTACACTATAACTTAAATGCAAACTGCTGACTCATTCCTGTTCCAAATCATGCTCCTCTGGTGGCACAGCAGGGCAGCTGGCAGCAGAAAAGAGAGTGGGTTTAACTGCTTTCAGGCTGCTTCTTAGATATTTGGATGCATGTGGGAGAAAACCAGGCTGCTTGTTTTCTGAGCAAAAAAATAGAAGAAAAGATTAGTCTCCTTTGTTAGCAGGAAATCTGGCCTTGGAGTCCTCCACATTGCAGGTAGAACTGGATGAATAGGGGGCAAAAGGCAGGGCAAAGCTGATGAGAAGGATGCTAGAAGGACATCATTGCCCAGCTGAGCACCCCAACCTGGGGCTCTGAGGCATTTTCCAGGGAAGGTGACAGACTTCCCCTCCTGGAGGGTAGCCCTGGCAGCACCACCTCTCCTTCCACCACCCAGACATGTGTCCAACCCTTTTTAAGCCCCACGGATGCAGACTGCAGCCCTTCTCTGCTGCTGCAGTGCTGGGTGCTTTCACTTGTCCTGTTGAGCTACTGACTCTGCTTTGATGATGTTTAAGCCCAAAATTTCTCTTCCTTCTGTAGCAGTCTGCCTTGTTCCCTGCAGGACTGGGGGTTCCACCACCATGCACTGTTTGCCTGCCTCACAGACCCTGCTGCAGATGGGAAACTATATAAATCCATCAATATCTAAAGCCTCCCCCACTGCATACACTCACAAGCCTTAGCTGGTGCTCAGCCTGCTTTTTCATCCCTGTTAGCATGAGATTTCATGATCCCAAGCTCCTGGTGGGATGCGCCATCATGGACCAGCTGCCCATTGCAACTTCCCTATCTCTGCAATGGGCAGAGCAGAAAACCTGTGAAAGAAGTCCCTGTTCCAAAACACAGTCCTGAGTGCCCTTGCCTTTGCAGGACACCATCGGGCAGCTGGAGGATGACCTGCGAAACACCAAAAATGAGATGGCTCGGCACCTGAGGGAATACCAAGACCTGCTTAATGTCAAGATGGCCCTTGATATTGAGATAGCTGCCTACAGGTAAGGCTGCTTTATTCCTGCTCTGCCTGGCCACCTCCCAAGCCCAATCCCATGACTCCACGAGGCTGGCATATTTTCAAGGGCCCAGAACATACCTGGGTACACACTCAAGGGACACCACAATTGTGTTGCTCATCTTTGCTGCCTGGACCTGCTGGCTCCTGCCTGGAGAGCAGCCATGGCTCCATGTCATGCCTTAATCTAGCAGCTGTGAACTGTGTTCCCCAGCCATCTCAGAAACAGTGTTTAATGGGTACAATTCGGGTTGGCAACTTGTCTGTCTTGCAAAGTCAAACTAGATGCAAAAGGCCAAGTCCCTGTTGTTTGGGTATTTATTTTCCTGGCATTTCTGGAAAGCTGCTCTCATGCACCCCATATTGCAAATGCTCCAGAAATCATTGACCAAGACATGATTTGGAACCAGTTTCATGGTGCAGTGTGACCTGGGGTGATGGTCTGGAGTGCTTGGACTTTCCTGCAGGGCACAACTTGCCCTCAAGTTTTGCAGATGTTTCACACTCTGAGACTAACCTCTTTCCTTGTGATGTGCTTGCAGGAAGCTGCTGGAGGGAGAGGAGACCCTCTTCAACATGGGAAGTGTTGGCCTTCCAGCACTCAATTCCCTCCCCAACCCTACTTACTCCTTCGAGCCAAGAAGCTTTAGTTCCTCTACTCTGTCCTTCAAGGAGGAGGAGCAAGGAGAGGTTATTAAAGTGACCTCTAAAATATCATCCAGCAGGGCTGAGGTGATTGAGGGGACCATAACCTCTGTCAAGAAAAGAGGGAGGTTAAACCTGCATGGAGGAATCATTGCAAATGCAAAAATGTAACCACTGGGACCCTGTTCATATGCATTTGAGGGGGAATAGTCTCCACTCGGCCTTTAAATCGCTCCTCTGGGCATGAAGCCACACTGAACTCATGGGAAGCCCCCCTTAGAAACACATAACTCCCCAGAGACACTTACCCAGGGATGGCTTCCCTGAGGGTCCTGCCACACAGAGGCCGAGCTTGGCACATTGCTCCCTTTTAAATGGGGTGGAGGCACAGCAGAACAGGTAGATAGATGCATGTTGGTCGTTGTTGTGGTAGCACATGGATTCATAGCACCCTCCCTCCCTCCTCCTGTGGCAGGCGAGGGGGAGCTGGCTGGGCCTGCTGCTGAGCCAGCTCTCTGGGGAGGGAAACAACTCAACATGTTTACTATCACTAGTTTCAAGGCAACAGACCTTCATCAGCTACACAAATCCATGTACAGATAAACTCTTCCCCACTCCTCAAGTTGTAGCCGTCCACTTTTAATCCTAGAAGCACAGAAATAGCCATACTGGACTGTAACCACACCTGAGGTCTGGTCTGAGCCACATATGTTTTGAACTGAGTGTTAATTTTTTTTTGTCCTGACAACTCTTCTTTTCTGGCAGCTTTAGTCCAGCCAAGGCATGTGGGGTTTATAAGCAGCAAGCAGAGGGCAGGGAACTGGTACATCAGAGGTGAAAGCACCACTGTGCCACAGGGTGCAGCACCTCATCTGGTATCACTGGCTCCAAAATGTCAGGGTCTGAAGGACCCTTGTTTGGCTGCACAGTCTTCACTGGAAAACCCAGTGCCCAGATTAGCATCATGCCCCAGCCGGCACTGGGAAGCTGCAGGACTCCTGAACACCAGCCCACAAAGCATCCTTGTCTCCGCTCTAACTGTTCCAATGTGTGCCAAATTTGATATAGGATTTAACAACCATAGGTTTCCTTCAATGCCTTAAATTGCCAGTGATCGCTTTTGCAAGAGCCGGAGACTCCGCGTGTGCACGTGTTGCGTGTCAGTGCCCTGGCAAGGTTATCATCACGAGACCTCGCTGCCCTTGCGGCGGTGCCAGAGTAGTTCCTGGAACCAGCAAATTGTTTGCTCGCACTCTTTTCTCTTCTATTGTAAGGCACAAGTTAATAATTAAAAAAAGAAATAGCTGTGTGGATCAAACCAAGCTGTTTTGTTGTCTTTGCTGCTGCTTCACCTCGGGAACACACCTCGGTGTCTGGCCCACCGCTGGTTCAGTGGCCGGCTGTCCCTCTGGGCCTCTGCAAAGAGCTTGGTGTTGGGGTGTTGCTGCCAATCCCTGCTGCTGGGGCTGCAAGGTGAGCCTGGTCCCACTGATGGCAGGGGGCATGTCTGGGGCTCACCCCAGGGGCCTGTCACAGTGGCTCTGCTTTGCAGAAGAGTTCATGGCCAGCTTGCAAAGGGATCAAGATCTGTCACGGCTGAGTGCACCCTCATTTGCCCAGAAAACGGCCTCAGAGGCTTTGATTAGCATCACATTCCTGACAGCTCAGTCCCAAACTACCCATCATTTCCTCTCCACTCTGCCTGTGTGTTGAGGGGTTAGAAGCACCCTCTTGGTTTGCCTGCACAAGTGAAGATAAAGCAATTTACACAATAGCAGATGGAAGAAGGGAGGGTGCACACACCTCCCAAGTAAACCCAGCAGTCACAGGTGTCCACAGAGCTGCTGTGACCACCACTAGCTTACATTTGAAGATGCCCATGCTCTGCTTGAGATATGTTTGTAGAGGGAAAGAGCACAGGCAGCTTCTCTCAAGTGGCCCTGCCGGCAGCACAGTGTCCTGTTGCCTTCCCATTCCTGCTTTGTCGCACCATATCATGGCAATCTGCCTCAGAGCCCCAGGGACACAGTGTGACAGTCACAGGCTTCTCCACTAGTGCTGCAGTCCAGGAACAGCACGGCTATGTCCCTTGATCCCATCACACTGATAACCTTGGGGAATTATGCCCTGACGAGGCTGCTCAATGTGGGGTGACACAGCCCTGGGGAGGGCAGCCCTGTGGGTGGGTGAAGCAAAGGGTACCTTTTGGAGGCAGGGAAGGGGGCTCGGGTATGGTTGGAGCAGCAGCCACCAGAAAATCAGCACAGAGCAACTTGGGGTGCCCAGACAGAGTTTGAGGGAGCCAGCACCAAGTCCAAGGCGCTGGCACAAAAAGCAAGGACCAAGAAACCTCCAAATATCTCCCGGCTCAGCCATCAGTTAGGAAATGTGAACACACAGAATTTCCCCCAAACCACAGGGGAAATAAAAAGCAAATGTGACTGTGCAGCTAATGTAATATATTCTGAACCTCAAACACTCTCCACCACTGCTGCTTTCTGTCCCTTGAGCATAATCAGTCTGACCTGTCCTTTGTTCCCAGCACAAGCTGTTGTCAGGATTCCTGCTTGCTCAGCTGGCTGGGTGCTAGCAATGAGGATGGGAATTTTACTTTGGTGATACCAATGTGAAGCAGTTGCGGAGGAGGGTGAAGGAGCTGCAGGGAGGCCAAGGAGCTATTTTGGAAAATGTCTGCATTGCAAGAGCCAGCCCAGAGATTTCCTACATTTCTGGAGCTCTGCAGTGTTTTGGTGCTGTCTCATAGTGTTAAGCTCCAGAGGTGACAGAGGGGCAACAGGCAGGGAAAGGACCTGGGCATTTAGGATACACAAAACAGAACTAGGCTGGAGTTTATATTACCTTACGGTTCTGACATGCCTCTGCTGGGGTCTTTCCCTGTGATGTTACAGGATTGAAGGTGCCAAGTTTTACTTACTCGGATAGTAGCACGTGACTGACCAACCCCACAAATGCTCTACCAGGACCAAGGGCAAGGAGAGCCCTTGCAGAAGGGACATACACCACCTTCCTGGAGGACACAAGCCAACCACAGGTACTGTGTAAGGGAACAGCTCCCAAAGGAGGTCAGAGCTGCCCCCAGCTCTGCAGCAGCCTCCCAGCTACCCATGTCCAGTGTTTGGCCAAAATACCTGTGATGTGGGACCCTGGCATCCCAGTGGGGATACCCCTGGGGACACCTTGCTCTGGGCATTTCCCAGGGCTGTGCCCAGATGGGCTGCAACTGCTTAATGCCCAACTGAGGCATCCTAAGCCCCATCTGTCCAGCTTTCAGGCCCCAGGCGGCTGCTGCTATTGAGGGCTGAGGTCCTCATTGAACATGCGATGATGTGTGGATCCTACTTACCCTAAGGGAGGCCCATGTCCACACTCTCCTTATCTTTATGAGAACAATGACAGCAGAGAGGAACAGGCCTGGCTCAACATGTTGCCAATGCCGACCTCTGACTACCTTCATTCAGGCCTCATTTTCCATCGCCATCTTCTTCAGAGTGACTCCTTTCACCTGCTGGCTTATTTGCACCAGAAGGCTTCTATAGTAAACTATAAGCTGGAACAGGGGCAATAAATCCTCCTTTGAGGTTCCATCTTTCCTACTGGGATAAACACCTAGGCTGCCAGAGGAAAGGAGTCACTGCAGATGCTGAAAGATTTATAGCTCTGTAGAACCTTAGCCTCTCAGATAAAAGGCAGCTGTGGACACAGACTGCTCCTTCCCTCAGCAGAGAGCAGCTATTTCTCCATGATGATGCATTGCATTCATCTTTATGCTGGGAAGAACTACAGCCTCCACACAGAGGTTCAAACTCCCACTTTCATGGCTGGCCTTTTGTTTTTTCCCTGGGTGGAGATGATGGCTCACACAGCTGTGCTTTGAGGCTGCTCAGCTCTGCTAGTTTTGTTGTCACATAGGTGAGATGGGTCACACTGCTGCTGCTCCACTGATGGAAGAGCCTTGCTCCCATCACAATCCTGGAATCAAGGGTCCTTTGGCTCCACTGGAGGTTCCTGCAACAACTATCTGTGCTGTGCTGAGACGTACAGCTCCTTAAAAACAGAGAGTAGCTGCACACGGAGAAGTTTTGCTAATGACACTTATCCAGAGGCTGGAATTCATTAAAAAGCAAGCCAAAGAAAAAGCAGCTGAAGAAAAAAACCCCCCAAACATTTTCCTTTGGCAGGAATGCAAACATCTCCTTTTCCAGACTGGAGAAGAACCCCGTCATTCAGCAAGAAGGAATCAATAGGCAATTCAGAGCAAAGTCTCTTCCAGCACCTTTGGCTGGATCCAGCCAACTCTCTCCTTGCCAGCTCTTAGCACAGAGATCTCCCTGAGGAGAAGGGCTTCTTTCCCAAGAGAGTGACCTACACAGAGCCCTAACGCCAGTAGCCAAACAGATGCATCTGACTGATCAGATGTCCACATCAGTGGGGTCTGACACTTTGAAGCAGAGCATATACAAATAGCATAAGCAATGGCAGATCCTTCAAGTAAGTCTTTGCAGGCATGAGAATAAGAATCGCTTGGCAAACGCAGCACAACATTCAAACAGGGCACTGCTTGGGGTGGGGTGAAAGAATGCTCATTGACCCTGGTCTGTCCCAGCACTTCCAGCTGAACCAGAAGGGCTGCAGAGCTGGGGTCTGCAACTATGGGGTCAGGGGGGATGCACTCCTACAGCTTGTGCAGGCGTCTTCTTCCAAAACCCAGCTAAACCAGAGGGGAACTGCAACTCTGCAACAAGCAATTATGTCCTTGTTAAAGCAGGATACTAGTGATGTACTGCAGACACTCTGCTCCCCAGAACTGATGGCTCTGTTGGAGCTTGCCTGGGTCGACCATAGCACAAAGGAACAGTGTTTACGCTAAACACAGACATACCTGCTTAGACAGAAGGGAAATACCTTGATAATTTCAAAGTGCAATTCCAGAGCCCCAGGTACACGTTCACTTGCTGAAGACAGCAAAGCTCCTGAGGTGCCATGAGCGTCAGTTCTGAAACAAGAGAGGTCCAACGTCCATTCCTACTGCAGCAGGGCCAGCTCAGCAACTTTGGCTTTGAAACAAGAGGCAGCTGCTGCCTGCCTGCATCCAAGAGAGCACAGGAGACACAAGCTCTTGGCTCCCCAATGTCCAGAGCTGCCTTGTAAAAGCTCTGACAGACACGTAAGTCATTCTCTCAGATTATGCACATGCAGACCCGAGTATGGTCTATATAAGAACAAGCTGTTTGGAGATGCCATTCGGAAAAGCTGAGGTCAGACTGAAAAATGCAGTTTGCACTGAGGCTTAAAACATCATTAAGTTTAAGCAAATTTTCAATGGAAATGAAAAAAAATCCCCTAATCCCCAGATACAAGGCACCTCATTAGCAAAATCCTAGTCTAGCAATGAGGTCAGAGAGATGTACGAATAAGAATGCCTGAAGCAAGCCAAAATGTCTCAGCAAGCCAAAATATTCAGGATAGATTCTTAAGGAAGCAAGGATTATAGGATCATACTGTGACTGCATGTCCCCTTTACCCCCTGAATCCTTTCCTAGTCTTTTTTTATGCTCAAGAGCTTAACTTCAGCCACACTTGAGAGCACTGAAAGTCTCAA